CAGGAACCCATCTGGAGGTAAATTCTTCTGACAGTGTGATTTTGGTTATCAGAGCATAGGCAGGGGATCAGCATTCTTTGGAGTTATAGAAAATATGCAACTTAGGCAACTGCCTACTTGGAAATATATTTAAAACAGGGGGCAGGAAGCTCTCTTGAGCCCAGGAGTTCAAGACCAGCCTGGGCAACACAGTGAGACCCTGCCTCTACAAAAAAAGAACCGAGGTTAAATATTTTCATTCATAAAGTTGGTCTCAGCTTTGGGTAAAGGCAAAAATGTCAAGTCACCTTGCTCCTGGGCATTCCCAAGGGAGGCCTCACCGAGCCACCTAGCAGAGGCAGGGCAGCCATCTGGGTCACATTCCTTCACCTGCCTGGCGTGGGCACAGACTCGAAGGATGCGTCATCCGGGTTGCCCAGGGCAGACTCTTGGCAGGCCTGGTTGGCCCAAAGCAGGCTGGCAGGCCTTGCTTCTGATGCTGCCTGTCACCTCCCAGCATCACGGCATGACTCAGGCTCCCAGATGGGCCATCACCAGTGTGGGATTTGAAGGAGCAGCGTATCCACTGTTCACTCTTAGGGTGAGTGGTGGACGTCCTGGGAGGCCCTACTCTGCAGAGTCACTGATCATGGCAAATGTCAGGGCTGGATTCCTCTCATGTCTTTCCCAGAAAGGACTTGGGACGTCACAGAAGCTCCATGAGTGAACTTCCCCTCTGGGTTTGACAGTCCCTGCCTCCCAGACTTCAGAACACAAAAGACAATTCTTCAGGCAGATCTTTGCGTGTGGATGTTGGAAATGGAGGCTCTACTTCCAGCTTTTAACATCTTCTCCTTTTTTTTTTTTTTTTTTTGAGAATTTATTTGCCTTGACCTTTATGAAAGAAGATGGGAAGAACACGGCCCCTGGGGGCAAACCCTGGCTCAGCCACTTTCTTTTGTTTTTGTTTTGTGTTTTGTTTTTTGTTTTTTTTTTTTTTTTTAGATAGAGTTTTGCTCTTGTTACCCAGGCTGGAGTGCAATGGTGCGATCTCGGCTCACCGCAACCTCCGCCTCCTGGGTTTAGGCAATTCTCCTGCCTCAGCCTCCTGAGTAGCTGGGATTACAGGCACACACCACCATGCCCAGCTAATTTTTTGTATTTTTAGTAGAGACGGGGTTTCACCATGTTGACCAGGATGGTCTTGATCTGTTGACCTTGTGATCCACCCGCATCGGCCTCCCAAAGTGCTGGGATTACAGGCTTGAGCCACCGCGCCTGGCCTTCAGCCAGTTTCTTGCTCGTTGGCCTTGGAAAGTTACTTAGCTTCTCTGAACTCACTTTCTTTATTTTTAAAACAGAGCAATGCCATCCTTTGTGTGTTGCTATGAAAATGAAGTGAGTCCATGAAGTCACATACCCAGGCGATGTCTGATGGCAGGAGGTGCTCAGTACCCACAGCCATGACTTTCTGAATGCTTGCCAGCTGCGCAAGCGTGCCTGGTGCATCTGTGGGACACGGGAGGGAGCTAAAGGATGGCAGAGGCTCTGCCGATGGCTCTACCGTTTCCATCAGTCGCTCCTGGGGGGGCCCTCCGGCCTGCGGTCTGGTCTGCACTCTCAGAGACTTTGCACGCAGCCATCTGGGGTTCATCTGGGAAGTTAATGCAGTTACCCGGTTTGCTGCTTTCCTCCTGGGGAAGGTATCGTGAACAGCATCTCCATAAGTCATGCAAATGATTACTAGAAGAACTCATGGCCCCTCCTGGAGGGGAAAGCCCTGGCTGGTGCCCGCCACGCTCTGGCTTCGGGTGACCCTTGATTGGGTTGGCTGGCTCTAGTACTGACCCTGTGAGCAGAACAGGAAGCAGACTCAAAGTACGTCCCAGCCTCCAGGGGGCGGAAATGACTAAGCCAGCGCAATGGAGCCGAGGAGATTGGGTCAAATGTCTCCAGGACTCTGGTCTCCAGAAATCTCTTCTCCCAAGGCGGCTGCTGAAGGCACTGGGCCAAGTCTTAAAAGCAGTTTGCTAAGACGGGATTCTCGAAATGTCGGCCCCCAGGTGTTGCTGGGGAGAAGCCATGTATTCCCACTTGCTAGAGGTCCCTGGTAGGGCCTGGAAAGTGACCATCACAGCCCCCCAGGCCCCCCAAGGTGCTGGTCTCTCAGAATATTGGGGCAAAACTTGATAATTCAAGCAAGACTAATAATATGAACTGCTTCAGGGTGAAGGAGAAACCCCACTCAGTTAAAGACAACTATAAATTTCTTGGACCCTCTTATTTTCCCCCTGCTTCTAGAAATTTCAGAATCACATTGAAAACTAAAAGTCTTACATTTTTCTAAAAGTATTTTTTAAAACCCAAAAGTATAACAAAGTGTAACTGTCTATAGACACGAGATACACGACACCAGACTATTAATTTCCAAAAATGTCACATCATCCCCGAACCTCCTGGGCTTGGGAGAGGAAGACGTTCAAAGACGCCCAGCTTTGATGCAGGAATGAGGCACTGCACCCAAGACTGCGTGACTCAGCAGGGATATCCAGCAAACAATTCTCATCTCCACCATGATCATTTTAGAAACGTTTTAAAATGAAAAACAGAGCAGTGGATCTTGACTCTGGCCTCAGACCCAGCTACTATGAAGCACTGTGAAGAAGAATGTAGAAACCAGGCTTCCTCTCTCCTGCCCGGAGGCCTGCCATGCTAGCGAAGGAAGCCCTGGTCCAAGGCTCCCAGTGGGCCAGGCAGGTTGATGGGAAGCGGGCTTGGCTTGCGCTAAACAGCTGGGAGCTGGGAGCTCAAGGTGAGCACACAGGAGGAGCCACAGCCACCCTGCTTCCCCTTTATGAGCAGCTAAGAATAGCAAACTGCCACAGAGTGATGGAGACCCGTTTGAGGGTTTTGGTGGCGACAGAGCCCTCTCTGGGCACACCTGCAGTCTCACTCCTTGGGTCAAAGGGAGATGGGGTGGAGAGAGAGGTGCTGGGAGCAAGAAATGTCACCTGGTGGGGAGGGAGGGAGAACGCTGTGCTCTCAGAGAACCCAGCCCTCCAGTGTCTTCTGCCGTGGGAGAAGGGGCCCAGGAGCTGCTGGATGTGTAGGGCTGGGAGCCTGGGCAAAGGGAGCCTGATCTTTCTCATAGGTGTAGAAGATGTTTCTGTTCCACGTGCATGCTTTGGCCAGCCGCATTGTCCTGCAGGCTGGCATCATCATTCCTTATTTTCCCTCAATTTGCTTCTCTACATAAGTAATTCAGTATCTATAGGTTGGAATTCTTTGAAAACACTTGACAGGGCCAGGAGCTGTGGCTCACACTTGTCATCCCAGGCCTTTGGGAGGCCAAGGTGGGCGGATCACCTGAGGTCAGGAGTTCAAGACCAGCCTGGCCAACATGGTGAAACCCTATCTCTACCAAAATACAAAAATTAGCTGGGCGTGGTGGTGGAGGACGCCTGTAGTCTCATCTACTTGGGAGGCTGAGGCAGGAGAACTGCTCAAACCTGGGATGTAGAGGCTGCAGTCAACTGAGATTGCGCCACTGCACTCCAGCCTGGGGGACAGAGCGAGACTCAAAAGAAAAGACGGAAGTGTGACAAATTCCCAAGTAGGGGTGGTGGTTAGTTTACAGTTTGTTACAAGCCTCTAAATAAAGCGAGTGGGATGAGTGAGCAGGCATGAGACCTGAAGGAATGAGACTGGTTCCACTGGTCACACAGGACAGGCTTTCCTCACTGCCCTCATAGCCACAGGCGGCCTGCACACACATGGCACGGGGACCCTGGGCCCTTGGTTTCCGCATCCCGGTTATTCTGGCAAGGGGACCGGCAGGACTAGAATTCTCCAACTGCATAGTCTAGCCACAGGTCAGGAAATAATTAGACTTTTCTGCCAAATAAGAAGGGATTTCTTTGTTTCTGCCTAAAATAACACAAAATAGAAAAAAAGAAGAGCAGTTCCTCCCACCCTTAAGAGAGTGCGGCAGACGAGCGCTAGCGTGTAACAGATGGGTCACTCGCAGGAAGCTGACAGGCGCATTCTTATGTCCACTTTGGCTTGCAAGGGCCCATCCCAAGCTCACCTGGGCAATCCCGTCTGATCTCACCTCCCTGCCAGCTTCCTAATCTGTTCCCTACAAAGGCTCTCTGTGCAGCTGCTGTTCGAGTCCTTCCTCTTTCCTGAAGAAAATCCAGGCCCACGGGTTCAGGGCCACAATCCCCACTGATATATCAACCAAAGGGCCTACGGCAGAGCCCTGGCTAGGGAAGAGAGGGCCAAAGGCTCAGTCCATCTAATTCCTTTCAAGGTCAAGTCCTTTTAATACAGCGGCAGAAAACACAATTAAATCACGCTGTCATGGTTTAGTCGTGTATTAGACCCGGAGAATCTCAGGTTAGTGTGTTTCTATGGCACTCCCTAAGGACCGCGTCCACTCTGCAAGAGGAGGGAACAGGAGTCTCTCTCACACACACACAGACACAAACACACACACCATACTACATGCACCACACTGATACACCACACACACACACACACCACACTCACAACCTCACAACACATCCCACCACATGCACCCCTGCACCCTCCCCCACACTGAATGAATGACAGACATACAGAGGGCAGGGCCTGGGCCTGGTGCTGAACCCCTCCTTGCCTCTGGGCAGCACAGCCCCTACGGCAGGCCCAGCCCCGGCTCCAAGGGCAGACACGGATTTCCAGGGACTTTCCGAGGACTGAGCCCGGAGCCTCTGTTGCTGACCAGCAAACGGCAGTCCTCGAAATCACCCTAACTGCGCGCCGTGCTCACGCAGCGTCACACGAGTGCACACACACGCACTGGTGCCCGCACAGCAGCCGCCGGGGTCAGGCGGGTGGATCCAGAGGGGCGGGAGGCGCGCGCACGTGGGGGGCCGGGGCCGCGGGGCCTTTAAGGGGGCGGGGCGGTGGCGGGAGGGCGGGCCCACAGGCCCGGCAGCGCCCCCTCCCTCGGGCCCCGCCCCCGCCCCGCCCCCTCCCCGCCCCGCCCCGCGGCCCGAGCCTCCTCCGGCCACCGCTGGGCCGCGGGCGGGACGCCCAGGGCGGCGCGCAGGAGGAAGCGCGCCCGGCCGCGGCCCGGGAACTTCCCAGACGCCGACTCGGGGGCGCCGGCCGCGGGGTCCGCTCGCGCCCTTGTTCCGCAGGTGTGCGGGGCTTGCGCCCACCCGGGCCGCCGCGCGTTTCCGCCCCGCCCCGAGGCCCCGGGCCGCGCTCCTTGCCGGGCTCCGGCCCCGCCGCACCCCCTCCACGCCCCCCGCGCGCCGCGGCCGCCGCCAGCGCGTATCCTGAGCCCGCCGCCCGCGGCCGGGGCTGCCGGGGAAGTTGGGGCGAGGCGGGCGGGGGATGCGCCATGGCCTTGGCCCGGCTGGGCTCGTGGCTCGGGGAGGTGCAGTGGCTCGCGCTGGTGTCGCTCTTCGTCGCGGCCCTGGCCACGGTGGGCCTGTACCTGGCGCAGTGGGCGCTGGCCAGGGCGCGACCCCAGCCCCGGCGGCGGGCTCTGGAGCCTGGCGAGGGGCCGCGCCCGGGGTCCGACGCGCTGCTGTCCTGGATCCTGACGCTGGGCAGCTGGAGGAGCCAGTGGCAGGCGGCCTGGGTGACCGCCCTGAACGAGGAGGCCGAGAGGAAAGGGGTGAGTTTCCGGGACTGCGGGCCGGGGGTGGCCGAGGCCGGGGAGGGTGGGCCGGACAGAGCTCTCTCCTGGAGGCGTCGCTGCAGCCCCTGACCGAGGCGAAGTGAGTCCTCCCTGCAGCGCAGAGCATCCATGAGAGTTAGGAGAGAGACTGGGGGAGCGAGGACCCTTAACGGGAGACCAAACTGATGGATTTTATTCCTCAGACGTCAGGTGCGCCAGGCCCTGGGCTCCGTGGGGGACAGGCTGACGGCTGGAGGGACCATCGGTACCGTGCCAGCTGGTACCTGCCCTGCCTGGAGTCCCGGGGCCAATTCCCGTGCCCGATAGGACACGTACTGAGCTTGCACCTGATGCGTGAATAGCTCTGACCCCAATGTGCTTCCTCCTCTCACAGAGCTGAATTTCACCAAGAATTTATCTCCAAAGCCTTGCGTTTCTTGGTATATAAAAATCCTGATCATTTGCTGGAGGCCAGCCACTGGGCAGACATCCTACCGGGGCTTTCGGTGCGTCTGCCATCTCTGGGTCCTCAAAACTCCTATGACATGGGTGTTACGACTGTTTACAGATGAGGAAACCGAGGCCTGGAGAGGGCAGCAGCCTGCCCAAGGCCACACAGCCTGTGGGCGACAGAGCTGGCGTGTGCCCGCAGTGGCGCTGGCCTGCAGGCGAAGGGCCTCACGGTCCTGTGGGTGTTTCATAGCCGCTCATTACTTGGTGACTTGTTTTGCTTTGAAGACACCTTACTTTAATGCCAAGCTCTGGCGTCTACTGTCCTTGGGCATTTCACAGGAGGGGTTGGAGCCTGGGTGGGTCTGGGGAGGCCCCTAGTCTTGGCCACTGCTCGGCATGTTCCAGGGCAGAGTTTCCTGCACCTGTGTGTGCAGCTCAGTGGCCATTCGCTGTAGAAATAGCAAAATTGCTAATTTTGAATGTTCGGACCCAGCAACCTTGAGAATATTCCACGGTGGGCCACCCTGTGCCTGGTCTTTGTGCCATGGCCTTGGAACACATGGCCACGGAGTTAAAAACAAAAAAGCTTTGAATGTCAGCATACAGCCAGCGCATCAGGAGACCTTGTTCTGAACTCTTGAAAAAGAAAATAAATGACTGTACCTTTTGGATGAAAAAGGCTTCAGGGGCAGTCGGCTGACTTTTGTCCTTGTGCCCAGAATCTGTGCCTCAGCTGTCCAGCGCTGGGCAGCTTCTCAGGGAAACCAGCTGTCTCTTTGCGAGCCCTCTAGCCCTGTTGACCTCACATCCAGGAGAAAATACAGGTATTTCAACAGGAAGCTGCCATCACCGACCCCTGACTGACCTGGTGTCAAGGCCTGGCTTCTGAGGCTGTGTCCTCTGCAGGCTGGTGGCATGATTGGGTACCAATCTCATTTCTGTCCTTTGTAGGAGGCAGGCGAGTGTTGGGGAATGACTTGTAAGTTCTGCTTCTGACTTTGGAGTTTCAGGCTCAGAGGCAGGGACCCTACCTCCTGTATATTTGGGATGGTTCTTTTCCTGACATCTATTCACTAGCCTCAGAAAATATGATCACCTTGGAGAAGATCCTTCCATATGCCTGAAGTGCGAGAGGTGGAGGAGAGGACATCCTCGCTGTGGCATCTGTCTTGGGCTGGTCAAGTCAGTCTGAGAACACTGAAGGAAATATTTGAAAGTTTTGGATGAAAACTTTTTACCTGAGTTTTTGTGTGCAAGCAGGGAGGGTTTGGGTTCAGAGAGAGGAGAGAGGGTCTCGGCGTGTTTGCGCCTCCTCTGTTCCCCCTCTACTGCGGGCCACACACTGCAGTTTCAGACTCCAGTCTCTCCTGACCTCCTGCCCGGAAGAGGTAGTAGTGTCCCAGCCCAGGGACATAGTCCATCAGTTCTGGGACATGAGTTGTTGGTGTTGCTTACTTTCTGGGGGCGGGGACGCAGCCCTGATGCCTGGGAATGCTGTTTCATTTGCATTGAAATGGAAGGTTGTGCGGGCAGATAGGATCTGGGTGACTGGGCTCCTGTGAATGAAGGTCACACACCTTCGCAGCATCCTGAGCCATTGCTGCTATGTGTCGGTGATGGCACTGTGGGTGAGCAGGTGGTGGTATTTGCATTCCAGGCTGCCCTGACTCTGGCAGTTGTCACATACCTTCCCAGCATCCTGGGCCATCACTGTGGTGACAGTGATGGCAATGTGGGAGAGCAGGGGCTGCTGTGTGCATTCGTGGCTGCCCTGACTCTGGCAGGAGCTTCTCGTTGCCCTCCCCCACCTCGATTCCTACTAATCCCCGATTAGGGCTGACACTCCAAGCCTGCTCTCTCCCGCCCGCCCCGCGCCAGAGAGCCACAGCTTAGTGCTCCCCCTCCTGCCTCTGCCTTGTCCTCATGTCACTCCGTCCTACCCAGGGAGGATACCAGTTCTTGGCCTGTCACTTAGGGATTGAGAGAACCCTGGTAATAACTTAATCACATCCAGCATTCTCTGTGAAAAGTGGAGTTTTCTATCCAGCGGAACGATAACTCCTCCCATTCCAGGTTTTACCCCAGCTTTGTATTATAAGATGGAAAGAAACCCTAAAAACTCTCCTGGTCGAAGCCCCTTCCTTCTCTAGAAGGGGAGACTGTGAGGCCCATGAGCTGGAGGGATTTGCCGAGGTCTGCCCATCCGTGGCTGCAGCCTGTCCCTTTGTGGGAAGCAGTTTCAACTTGGAGACCCAAATATTTCCTTTAAATGAGAGCCAGCAAGAAGGGCTCAGAGAGTCGAGTTGCTAATGTGTTATCCCAAACAGTGGCTCACGCCTCCTGGGATCCAAGGACTGGTCAGCTCCGGAGGAGTCCCTGTGCTCTCAGAGGACTCTCCTGCTCTCTGATGACCACTGCAGCAGCACAGCTCCCATGTTGCAGGGACCTCAGGTTCCCACCCTCACTCCAGAAAGGGTTCTAAATTATATGTGACAGTGATTTGCACTGATGTCAGGGGAAACCATTGCTGATGTGCCAACTGGCCAGGTAGACGCCAGGTGTACAGGGATCACCAGAGTCTCGCCCAGAGAGCTTAGCAGCACCCATGCCTGCCCCTACATCTGCCTGAATAGGCTTGGGGGCACATGAGGGTGTCCCATGGACTGAGAATCATCGGTGAGAAGCTGCTAGTGTGCACCTGCTGTCCATCAGAGTTCCTCCTTCACCCAGCACCACTTGAAAGCGGTGGTTTTAGCATTGACTCTTGCCTACACCTGGTCTGGTGTGGCAGACACCTCATTCCCACTAATGAGATGGCTCTTTGGTCACAGAGAACAGAAAGGACCAGCTGAGATTTTCCTTTTGCTCCCCTGCGATTACATCAACATTTACAAAGTGGTCCATGATAATCAGTTACACCCCGACACCCGCTGGGGAGTTTCCCTGACTGCTGCTGCACAGTCTCCTGACTCTGGGAGCAGCATGCTTGCAGCAGGGGCCCCCAGCCGTGGGCTGCACAGCGCTCCTCCCGAGGCTGAGGCCGTCTAGACCACGTGTGGGCAGTCCCATCCTGAAGTGAGGCCCGTGTTCTGTGGCCTGAATCTGGGCTTATCTAGCATTGGCCCACCTGAGTGGGATGAGGCCCTGGACTAGGAGGGTCCCAATGCTGTTTATTTCTTTAGTTCTTCAGCCCAGAATTTCTTTAGAGGAATGTTCTAAATGCAGATGTTCAAGACTATTAAACAATTTGTGGTCTTTGTGGAAAAAAAAAAAGATGCCATGTGAACTTGGAACGTGTTATTAATAGCACTGACTTGAATAGGAGTTTCTGTATTTAAAAAGTAAACAAAGTGGCCACCAGACTTCAGAGTCTTTGTAATGACATTCCGGTCCTGCTCTCAGAGTCCAAACTCCTTGACCAATGACAGTGGCCATGATGTAGGAAGCCAGTTGGCAGAACTGTGACCGCTGCTGGGGGATGCCCTTCCCTCTGTGCACCTCTTTGGGGCTATAAACCCGGCACCCTCCACCGGGGACCCTTCTGTTGCTCCAGTGTCCAGGGACCTTTCCTGCATGGTGCCTTCCGGCAGGTCATTCCTTTTCTTTACAATGCTTATCTCTTTTCTGTTTATTTAACTTCTCTAAATCTCTTGGGTCTCAGCTCAGAGGTCCCTGATCCTCCCCTTCAGCCAGGATGCTCCCTGCCCTGCCCTCCTCCCAACCCGCCAGAGTAACTTACGCCCTGGTCAGCTCCCGGCATTGTGAGCTGGGGGTGAGCCAGGACTGTCTGGGCAGAGCCAGACCCAGTGCCCCGCACAAAGCCGGCTCTGGGCAGGCCCTGGGCGCAGTGCGGTGAATTGATGGGTCCCTGGCTGGGAGAAACAGTGGTGATGCCCATTACCCCATCTGGACTCAGGCTTCTGTCTTGGGAGCCAGCCAGGCCTGGGCAATACAAGCTGTTTAATGTGCTTTGATTTTCACTTCTAAAGACTCAACATTAAGGGAGGCTCTGGTGAGTTTGCAAGTCCTCAATGCAAAACCCAGGAAGAGGCGCCAGTTCAGCCTGTTCCTTGCACTCACCCATTCTCCCAACAAGACAGGAATTCGGGAAGGTGTGGGCGTGGTGTTCACATCAGCTAAAATTCAGCCAAAGCTAACTTCCACTCCCGAGGCCTCCTGCTAGGTTGCCGAGGAGGGAGGGTTCTTTAGCCCGTGGGGAAGCTCTGGAGCTGGGTGCGGGTTTGCTTCCTGCTCCGGCTCTGCTCTCCCCGCTGTGCGATCCTGGGAGAGCCCCTGCATCTGTAGAAGGGATAACTTTGGGTTCCATCCAGAAACGAAACCTACTCTCCTGGAGGTGAGATCAGATCTGCGTGAGGCATTAACAGAACGCCTGGCACATAGTGAGTCAATAAAGGTGGGCTGCTCTCTTTAAAGTCTTTTTTAAACTTTATTTTGAGCTGCTTTCACAGAAAAGTTGAAAAAAATAATTCAGTTTTCATATATTCCTCACTCAGTCTTGCATAACCACAGCTCAGTGATCAGAACCAAGAAATCAACATTGGTACCATGTTACTATGATTCGTAACACAGCAAGATTAACGTAACAGTTCAAGAGATTAACATTGTCACAACGCCTAACAACTGAACCAAAGGCCTTCTTTGCATTTCGGCAGTTTTCCGCCTGTCTCCTTTTATCATTCCAGGGTCCTGTTAAGGGTTCCTGCAGCGTTGAGCGACTTCATCACCTGAGTCTGCCAGGGTTTCTCCGTCTTTCTTTGCTTTTTATGACCTTGATAACTGAAGACCATTGATCATTATTTTGCTGACTGTCCTTCCGTTTGTCTGGTGTTTTCATATGGTTGGAGGGAGGTTCTACAAACCACAGAAGTGGCATGCACCGTGGATGGGGCTTGTGATGTCAGCGTGTCTCGTTGCAGTGGATGCTGGGCGTGGTGACTTGGTTGAGTTCTGCCGGGGTCGTCCTCATGTATTTTTTGTCTCCTCCTGTATTAGTCCATTCTCGCATTGCCAGAAAGTAATGCCTGAGACGGGGTCGCTTCTGAGAAAAGAGGTTCAGTTGGCCGATGGCTCTGTAGGCTGTAAGGAAGCATGGCAGACTCTGCCTCTGGGGAGGCCCCAGGAAACTTACGTGATCCCGCCGTGATTGGTGCAAGGTGAAGAGGGCGCAGGTTTATTTTATATGGTCCAGAGCAGGAGGGGGAGAAAAAGGCGGGAGGTGCCATACGCTTTTAAACAATCTCATGAGATCTCATGAGAACTCACTCACTGTGTAGGACCAAACGGGAATGGTGCTAAACCATTCAGGAGAACTCCCCCTGCCGTGATCCACTCTCTTCCCACCAGGCCACTCTGGCAACCCTGGGGATTACAGTTCTACCTGAGATCTGGGCGGAGACGCAGAGCCACACCATGTCACCTCCTTATACCTTTCCTGCTGTAGTTAACAGGTGGTGTGGGGAGATACTTTGCGCCTGTATGGATCCCACTGTGCCTCAGACTTCCTCACTGGTTTTCCAGCCATCAACGTGTCCTGTCTGCAGTGGTGACTTAGCTGCAGCTCGCCTGATGGTGACTTTGTTTCCTCTTCCTTCCTGTCTTTATTATTTGGAACTCTCCTGCAAGAGAGAACCATCATTTCTCCTCCAGTGAGATACTGATCTGATCGTTCAGCTCACTGTGGACTCGTGGATATTTATTCCGTGGGTACAGTCACCCTGTTTTCCTTTTTCAGTGTTTTCCTGGCAATTCTTGTGTGTTTCTTTTTCCTTGTGGACATTAAATCTTCCTTTAGTCTAAGCGGAAGGGCTTCTGGAATGAGGGTTCTCTCAGCATTGACACAGCAGCAGAGATGCAGAGATTCCCGTATTTGTGGTTGTGTGGCAGGCAAGTATGCCCTGCTCCTGAAACTCAAGGACTAGGCAGATCAGGAAAGGAAAAGCATTCTCCCTTAATAACTTATTTTCCTTGGGAGACCACCCCTTGACCTTAAGATTCCCAGCAAACTCTTTTCCAGGTTTGAATTCAGAAGGTAGTAAGGGAAGAGGGTAAACACTACATCTGCTGCCCAGGGGAGCATGAGTCTGCGCCCAGGCTGGTGTAAGGCAGCATTGTGTCTTTAGGCTACTGCAGAGAGTACATTGTTTCTCCACTCCATCCTCCAAGCGCTGGCGTGTTGCCTCCTCATGGTTCCCTGCCTGGCACTGGCCTCTGTGCTGGGTTCTGTTCTCTCAGGCCAGAGGGCCTGGTGCACAGAACTGTCTCATCGCCAAGCTCACAGCGTGACCCTGGCCAGCAGGTCCCACCCAAACAACTCCCACCAGAGAGAGCGCCAGGAGAGCAGTCCTGAAACCGTGATTTCATCCGTCTGCAGCAGTACATTTAATTCTCTGCTGACTTTTCGGGGATGAGGTAGATAGTGCAAGAACAGGGTGAGGTTGGAAGTGTATAAATCAAAATGTTCCGTCTTTTAGGTTTACTCATGGTCATTGGGAATTCTCGAGAAATAGTCACAGCGTAACCTCATTGCTCGCTCACTCGCACCATGCTGGGTGGAGTCTCCGGGGCACGGTTTCACACCACTTCCCCTGCAGCCTCGGTCAGCCTGGACCTAGCTCACCACGTGGAGATGGGATCGATGGAAGCGTGTGGGGCTGCATGGTTTTAACCACCCAGTCAGAGCTTACTTAAACATGACGTGCTTTCTACAGAACGTCAGGAACAGAGTTCAAGGAGAGTTTTGATCCAGGGTTGTGTTTTTGGCATCCGCGCTTGGCTTCTGAAGGGCTTGGTTTTGAGAGGACAGGACTTGGCCGGCCACGGAGCCCTGGTTTCTTTGTGATGAGTGAGTGGTCCTGTTCATCTAACTGCACATCTCTTGTTTGGATTTTTTTTTCTTTTTGAGACCCTGTCTTGGGGATGATCTTAGCTGAATACAACCTCCGCCTCCTGGGGGCAAGTGATTCTCGTGCCTCAGGTTCCTGAGTAGCTGGGATTACACGTGTGTGCCACCACATCCGGCTAACTTTTGTATTTTTGGTAGCGACAGGGTTTTGCCATATTGTCCAGGCTGGTCTCAGACTGCCGGCCTTGGCCTCCCAAAGTACTGGAATTACAGGTGTGAGCCACCACACCCGGCCTTGCCTGGAGATTTTTAATTGCAAGAACCAGAACAGACATGAGCTGACCGAGTTTCCTGGAAGGAGGCTGGGGGGACATGCAGAGCCAACGGCAAAGTGAACCTCAGGGCCAGGTGGCTCCAGAGGGCTGTGAAGTAGGGGCCTAGGGGTCTGCTCGGTGGGCAGCCACTAAGCACACGCATTTCTAGCTAAGGAATCTTGTCCATCCTCTCAGATCCCAGGGAGAGGAGAATGGGGGGGGCACCCTAAGTAACCGTGCCACAGCAACCACACACAACGGGGAATGGTGACTTCTAGACCGGAACAGAGGACTGTCCCTAGGAGTCGGGGAGGACACAGCCCAGAGCCCTCGGTTTTGTGCTGGGCTAGGCGTCCTGCTAGACCCCCAGATCCACTGATGTGCAGGAAGCGGCTCTACCCTGAGTGTCTGTGTTTTTTCCCTTACGCTGTCAGCAGGAGGATTCAAAACACCTTTCACTGCCTTCCTGTGGCATCTTCAGGTTCGTTCCTGGGTTTCTGCCCTTTCCCCGCCTTCTCCCATAACTGAACCCTCCCCACTGAGCACAGCCATCCCCAGCTGCTCCTTGGAGGTGCAAACCTCCTGATATTTTAACCATTGCTGCTATTTAGAAGCACAGAGTTAACAGGAAGATGTATTTGTGCAGTTGCTTGATCTTTTGGAACTTTACACAGATATGTGATTTAAAAGATGCAGCCCCTCCTGTGCATGCCCCTCCTCATGCTGCCCCTCTGTTCCAGGGCCCGCCTTTCCTGTCCTTTGAGGAGGACCCGCGGCAGCAGCCCCTGGAGCTGGCGGTGGAGGCGGTCTCCAGCGTGCTCAGGTCTGCGGAGGAGAAGGTGAGTGGGGAGGCCTGTAAGTTCCCTCCTGCAGGAGGAAGGGAACTTCATGGCTGGGGCAGGGAGTTGACTTTGTTCAGAGTCAACTAAAATGCAGAACCTTTCACTGGAACAAAATCAAAACAACCATCTGGCTCATCAGCTGATGGGTGGTGAAGAAAGTGTGATCCGTCCACATAATGGGGCGTTACTCCGCCTTCTCGTTCATGCAAAGGAACGAGAGCCTGACGCTCGCCCAGTGCAGATGAACCCTGAAAATACCATGTCGAGTAGAAAAGGCCATCCACAAAAAGCCTCATGTTGTGTGACTCCATGTATATGAATGATCCAGAATAGATAAAGCAGTAGCCACACAAAGGAGGTTCGTGTTGCCAGGGCCGGGGTGGGGGACTCGGGAGAATACGGAGAGTGACTGCTGGGGGGACAAAATGTTCTAAAATGCTGGTGGTGATAGTTGTAGAACTCTGCGAATATGTTAAAAAGCATGGATTTGTGCAGTTTAAACAGGTGACTTCTGTCTCAGTACATCTGATACCTGTTGCTCAATGTGTACGTCTTGTTGTAGACTTTATGTATTCGTGATGTATCTAGAATCATGTGCATGTATTTCTGTACGTGTGAGCAATCTCCGTGTTTTGTAGAATTCACTTTCCTGTTGCTAACTTACTAGACTGGTCAGATACCATGATGTGTAAAAGCTTTTTTTTGGTTTTGTTTCATATATTTTTTTAGGGAGGGCATCTTACTCTGTTGCCCAGGCTGGAGTGTAGGGGGCATCAGCTTGCTGTATCCTCAGAGTTCTGGGCCCAAGCGATCCTCCTGCCTCAGCCTCCTGAGTAGCTGGGACTACAGGCACATGTCACCTTGCCTGGCCAACTTTTTTATTTCTTTTCTTCTTTTTGCAGAGATGGGGTCTTGCTGTGTTGCCCAGGCTGCTCTTGAACTCTTAGTTTCAAGTGATCCTCCCACCTTGGCCTCCCAAAGTGCTGGGATTACAGATGTGATTCTCCATGACCAGCTGAAGTGTTATCTTTAATACAAGTCTTGCCCTTGCACTTATTATATTATTGTTGTCGTTGTGGTTATTATCTGTGCTCCTTACTCTTGGGCTCTGAATTTTCCCCATTAACAAAAATAGTTTATTTGCCAGTTATGTTCAGCATAACTAGCAAATCCAGAGACCAGCTCCACACGGAGAAACCTGGTATTCTTGTTGGCTGCTGAATGCACTGATTTGTAATTTACAGTCTAGAGCTGCAGTTAGACAGGAGGGCATGGTCTCACTTTAGGAGGAGAAAGAAGGAACCAATGCTTCCCCCTTCCCCATAACTCACATGTGTATTTCCCATGTGTGTATAAATAAGATATTTTCGAAAGCCTGATCTACTCTGAAGTTCCATCCTCCATTCCTCCTCTCCCGACCTACAGCGTTGACTGTTCTTCTAAAGTTGGGCTGCTCCTCCTTCATCCTCAGCCCGTGTTTATAGGTCACCCGTGTTGCTGTAGGATGTTTATGGCTCTGTCTGCAGTTTATTATCAAGTTAAGTGTGTGCGTACCATTCAGCAGACAGCAAGGAGGGGTGCCTGTGTGGCCCCAGATGGAAGAGAGTTGCCAGCCCCACACCCCTCTCCTCGCGTATCCGTGTGACAGCTGGGGTATCCTTCCTGTGTTCAACACTCTTATCATTTCTTATGTACACTTTGCAACAGACTTTCTCTACATAGATCACCGTAATTTCGAGACTTCTCCAGGTTGGTTTTTGTTCTTTTCTTTGTAGTTCATTTTGCTTCGACCGTAATTCAGGATTCCAGATGAACCTGCACTCACTCACCCGTCTCCGGGTAATTACCCGTTGGATAATTAAATTGTTTTCTCTTTTCCCAAAAGTACAGGTGAAGCACCCTGTACCTGAAATCCGTGAGGTCAGGAGTGTTCTGGGATTTTTGAATATTTGCATTATTTTTACTAGTCAAGCATCTCAAATCTAAAATACTCCAATAAACATTTCCTTTGAGAATCAATCAACACTCAAAACGTTTCGGATTTTGGAGCATTTCAGGTTTTGGATTTCGGATTCGGGATCTTGGTCTGTGCCTCCTGACTCCTCAGACACAAGCACCGGAGGATCCCAGGGGCCGGCCTGAACCTGCCAGGTCACTGGTGTGCGCACTTCGACTTGACCAAGTGTCCCTCGGCCAGTCACCCAAGAGCCGTCTGGTTTTCTGTGCCCCAGCAGCATAGGAGAGCTCTCTTTCCTGCACGCTCTTCCCAGTGCTGGAGCCACACTTAGATAATCCTTGTCCTGAATGTCAGGCAGTCACAGGAAAATACTGGGATTGCAGGAGGAAGCCCATGGCAGCAGTGCAGGATGCCGAGACTGGCACCACCTGGAGAGCCAGGAGGGTCCTGTGGCAGGTGGACCAGTGCTGCCCATTTTACACTCTGGGGAGCTGAGGTGCAGAGAGCCGTGGGCCTGACCTCCGGGAGCTGCTTTGGAGGTGCCTTCCCTGGCGGTGAGCACCCTCTCTATTTGTAGCAAATAGGTACCGAATCCCTTAGTGGCTGAGTGGTTTCTGTGTGGTGTTTTCCGATACTTTCCCAAGTAAGAGAGGAGTGGACTGTTCAGGGCCGGCCTGGACACGGAGTGGAGGAAGCCGAACTGTGGAAATGGCAAGAGTCTATCTTTGAAAACCTTCGTATTGCCAGAAAAGTGGCCTTAGACAGTAGGCGATTCAATCGTAACCCTTTTAATAATCACAGTTGCAGAAATGGACATGACAGAAATAATACACGTAAATGTAAAGTGAAAAACAGCACCATATTTGTACGGCCATGACCACAGCAGCTGAAAGGTGGAAGCGACGCAACGGCCTATTGACAGGCGAATGGGTGAACAAAACGTGGCTCGTCCACACAGTGGAATGTAATTCAGCCAGAGAAAGAAGGGCATTCTGACACAAGCTGCAACGTGGATGAGCCTTGAGGACACGGTGCTCAGTTAAATCAGCCAGATGTGAAGGGACAAATGCTGGATGAGTCTACTTCTTAGCGGTCCCTAGAGTAGCCTGATTCACAGAGACAGAAAGTGGAATGGAGGTGCCCAGGGCTTGAGGGAGGAAAGTGGGGAGTTCGTGCTTAATGAGGACAGAGTTTCAGGTTGGGAAGATGCAAGTTCTGGAGGTGGGTGGTGGTGATGGTTGATACAACAGAGTGAATGGAGGTAATGCCACTGAACTGTGCACTCAGAAACGGCTGAACTGGTAAATTTTACGTTATGTGTATTTTACCACAATAATTAAAAATATGGAAGGGCATGGAGATTCCTCAAAGGTTTCATTATTTCACATAGCAAGCTTTGTTCAATTTGTTTACCCTTCCTTTACCTGAGCTGTGATTTGCCAATCCTTGTCAGGTGTCAATGACTTTATTTTCTTCTTAAAATTTATCTTTTAAGTTGACAAAAATTGTACATGTTTATGGCATACATGGTGTTTCGATACACACATACATGTGGAATGGCTAACTCTAACATGGATGATGTCATATACTTACCATTTTGAGTGGTTAGAAATTTAACCTGTACTCTTTTAGCAATTTTCAGGTGTCTAATGTATTGCTACTAACTTGAGTCACCGTGGTGTACAGTAGATCCCTTCAACTTACTCCTTCCAACTGAAATTTGGAACCCTTTAACCAACACCTCCCCAGTGTCCCATACTCCCTAGCCCCTGGTGACCGCCATTCTGCTCTTGTTTTCTTTGCATTTGACTTTTTAAGATTCTACTTTTGAGTGAGATCACGTGGGATTTGTCCTTCTGTGCCTGGCTTATTTCACTTAACATAATGTCCTCCAGGTTTACCCATGCTGTTGCAAACGGCAGGATTGTCTTCATTTTTGAGGCCAGTATCCGCTGTGTGTTTATACCACATTTCCTCTGTCCATTCATCTGTTGATGGACACTCAGGCCGATTCCATCTTTTGGCTGTTTTGAATAATGCCCCAGGTGTCTGATTTTATTTTCTTTGGATAGATCATTGACCTTTGAACAGCGTGAGGGTTGGGGCACTGACACCTCGTGCCGTCAGAAACCCACATATAACTTTTGACTCCACAGAAACTTGACAACTGATAGGCTGCTGTTGACCAGAAACCTTACTGATAACATAGTCAGTTGACATATTTGGTATATGTATCATATACTCTATTCTTACAGTGAAGTGAGCTAGAGAAAAGTGTTACTAAGACCATCATATGGAAGAAAAACCCTGTTTACTGTTCATTAGGTGGAAGTGGATAATCACAAAGGTCTTCATCCTCGTCATCTTCGTGTTGAGTAGCTGAGGAGGAGGAGGGAGAGGAGGGGCTGGTCTTGCTGTTTCGGGGTGGCAGAGGTGGAAGGAAATCCACCTGTTAGTGGACCTGTGCACTTGAAACCCGTGTCGTTTGAGGGTCAGCAGTATGCGCAGCAGTGGAATTGCTGGACTGTATGTTAGTTCTATGTTTAATTTTTAAAGGTGCGTCCACATTGTTTTCTATAATGGCCATAATAATTTACATTGTCACAGACAGTGCACAGGGGCTCCCTGTCTCCACATCCTTACCAACACTTGTTATCCCATTCTCACAGGTTTGAGGTGACATCTCGTCGTGACTTTGATTTGCATTTCCCTGACGATTAGTGATGTTGAGCCCTTCTTCACAGACCTGTCGGCCATCTGCACATCTCTTTTTGAGAAACATCTATTCAGATCCTTTGCCTTTTTTTTCTTCTTTTCTTTCTTTTTTTTTTTTTGAGCTGGTGTTTTTGCTCCTGCTGCCCAGGCTGAAGTGCAGTGGTGCGATCTCGGCTCTCTGCAGTCTCCACTTCCCAGGTTCAAGTGATTCTCCTGCCTCAGCCTTCTGAGTAGCTGGGATTACAGGTGCCCGCCACGATGCCTGGCTAATTTTTGTATTTTTCGTAGAGATGGGGTTTTACCATGTTGGCCAGACTGGTCTTGA